TTATTTGTATCTTCATGGTTTCGATCTTATCATGTAAAATCTTTAAGTTGTTTTATTTAATGCAAACAATCGTTTCATTGTCTTCTCATGTTCATATATTTTTAACAATTTATAAAATTTCCTTGCTTCTCTTACTTTAAATGCCGAAAGCTTTATATGCTGATGTTAATCTATGTGGCTAACATATTTATGGCTCATTTAAGATCGTCCATCAGCGAAGTCGAAAGGTTAGCAATTTGTATCATAATAATAGTAATAATAGGTAAACGCATTTTCAAACTTCCGATGGTATTTTAATTTACTCACATTTCAGCAATTATTCACTCTTGATGAGAAGAAAAGATTAATTTGAATTAAAGTTTAATTCATCGTACATTCCAAATACAATTGAAAGTTTACAATTTAATTACAATAATCCATTCACATTTTTTCATCCATTTGTAGTTGAAGTTCGAATGATTCTAAGAAATGATTTACAGAAAGTTTTCCATTTCTAACTGAGACTGGACATTTAATTGCTTGATTGAATTCTTTCAACATATCAAAGTTTTAATCGAGATAATTTTATGAAAAGAAAAATATGAATGATTGATACCGCTGAATTAGAAAGCGGTGATGAATGAAAGAATGAGATTGACACCTTAAGAATTCTCGCGAAACCTTTTTTATGTATCTAGTTTGATGACTGCTTGAATTGCTGAGATTTAATAAAAGAATTTCAAAGAGAATGAATTTAATATTTTAGGAAGTGTTTGTTAGTTAAAGCTGTTTGATGCCACGTAATTTCAACTCCATCATTTCTCGTTTTTTATTAGTAAATCATTCAAGTCTATCATGAATTTTGTTAGGTTACGAGATGATTTATTAGCTGTTAACTTTCACTTGAAATTCTTGGTGAATTAGGTTCAGAAACGATTGGAAAAACTTATCCTGTTAATAAGAAAAAGAGAAGAAATTCAATTTAAAGATTATTTTATATGTTTTATCGTCTTTTATATATTTAATCATG